AAACAACAAAGCCATAGGATATCGAGGTTGTTTGCCTAGTACAACATAAATCGTCAAACACATCTTTTAGGCATTTGTACAATCCTGTTGTACAATCTAAGCTCTAACTCGCCTTAGGATTCCGAGGTTGTCATTTGTTATGACTTAAATCCTCACATCTTCAAGGTTATTTGTGCTGATTGCTTCACACAAATGTAAATCCTAATAAATAAAAAATTGTAGGATAAAACCTCTAAATGGTTTCTCCTAAATTGAAGCCAAATAACAGGATAGCTTAGGAAGTCATCGAAGTTCTCCTTCGAATCAGTGACATCCTCTAGTGTTTCCTCCTTTGGACTCCAAAACAAAATGTTCCAAAATTTGAACGAATCCCCTTTCACACTTCTTAGTCCGATATCTTTGAGATGTCCTTACCATTTGAACTTCCTTGAAGATAATTTTTCTTGATTTTTATCGAGAGTATTCTTAGGTAACTTCAGTTATCTAAGATGTAATTAACTATAGGGGCTTGCCCTTATAGGAAGCTTTCTCCGAACCCAGCATAATATAAACTCTATTTAATTCCTTATATTAAATAGAGGAATTTGTCGGCCAATACATTGGTTTCGCAGACCAAACGGATGTCATAACTTTCTTTAGTTTATTTGATCGAGCCTCACCCTCAATTCTTGTGTTCATCCTTCGGGATAGATACAGGGTTTGAGGTAGTGCTCTTTCATTTAAACTATGAAAATTATGGGGTCAGTTTGACTTCATCTTTTTCAAAACTAAAATTTAAAAAAAAAAAAACGTCCTTCCGAAGCGGACAACGAGATTTCAATTCCGATGACCGACAGCTTCCTACGGGCAAACCCCACACAAAAAATAGTGCCGACACAATGAAAACAAATCACTCAATTAACTTGTGGTCATTTGCCATTTTGTCAGGCGAGTTTAACATGCGTATTTCTTTTACTTTTAATGCCTTAAATAATTGATTGTGTTATTGATATTCATTTCAATATCAGAACACATAATGAGAAGATTTACTTCTATAGTCCATTGATATCAATAATTTTCATTGCTGAAGAAGATACATGAAGGTAAGGCTTTAATTTCAGATAAGATACCTATTGAGATTTGTAAGGCTTTGGGGCATTGTAGAGGTTTGGTTAATAAATCTTTTGAACATAATTTTTAAAGACTAATAGGATACCAAATGATTGGAGAAAGAAATAATTTGATATCAATATTTAAGAATAAATGAGATATTCAAAATTGTGTCTACTGTTGGTAACTCAAACTTAGGAGTAATGAAATTAGGGGAGATAGTAATAAATTATTTGCTTAAAATGTTTAAATTAATTTTTGAGACTAATTTGGTTTCATGTGAGGGATCTACTGTAAAAATATTTTTGTATTAATCTAATTAATGGATAACTAGAGAGCCAGAAATTATCTTTCTATAGTTTTTCTTGATCTTGATAGGACATGATTGAGTCCATGAGAATTGATTTTGCATGCATTAAAATACATGCTTGTGCCAAAGCTATGCTGAAATTATTAAAGATTGGTACAATGTAGCACTGACTAGTATTAAAAGTATTTGTGTAGCGATTAAAAAGATTTTCACTTATAATAGAATTACATCAAAAATAGTATTGAGTCTATCTTTTTGGTAATGTTTATGATGTTAATAAACGATATTCAAAATGAGATGCTTTAGCATGCTTCTCTGAAGTGACATGGTTTTAATTGGTGACACATTCCTTAAAATAAAACAAATCGAGTAACGAGGAAAATTTTTAGTGGATATAGGTTTAGATTTACTAATCAAAACACTTAGGCTATGCAATTTTAGTTGGCAATCAATATTATCATGAGATAAAATGATACCTCTAGGTGAAGCATATTTAAGCATTTTGGATTATTAATCATAACAATGAGGATGTGAATAATGATATAAGTTTTTGAGCTGATGTTCTATAGTATAAATAGAGAAGTTCTTTGGAGTATTTGTGGGCTCTAAAAATTTAGTGGATATAATGAAGATGTTTTTAAGGTATGATGTTAACAATTAGCAATCAATATTATCATGAGTATAATGAAGAAAATTTTCAGGGGATATGGGTATCAAAACACTTAGTGTAATTTTAGTGTGTATGATGTTAACAATTATCAATCAATATTTTCATGAGATAAAATGATACTTTTAGGTGAAGTATATTTAAGCATTTTGGATTGTAAATCATAAGAATGACGATACGAATAATGATATGGATTTTGAGCTAATCTTTTATAGTTTAAATGGAGAACCTCTTTGGAGTATTTGTGGGCTCTAGAAGTTTACGCCCCGACCTCCCTCAAAGATGATGAATGAGATGAGAGAGTTTTAAGTGAGATTCCGTGTCAAATTTTCATGGATAGAAAATCCACAGAATTTGTTTACCTAGGAATGCCCTTCACTCCGTAAGTCTTGCAAGAAATAGATGAAAGAATAAATAGAGCTAAAATGGGAGTTATATTTAAGAATATATAAATATTTGGATTGATGAATTTTTGAGAAGGTTCATTTTCGAGCGTCTTTATTTGAGTGTATGTTTATCTAGTAGGATAAAGTTAACTTGGTTGAATTTAGGTTTGTGTGGAAGCAAGATAATAAACATCAAGGCATGTAGCCTGCATTGATGCGTTCCAGAATGGTCCAATAAATCTTTATGATCCGTGTAAATCATTATAACAAATAACAATGCTAGTTATCAAATGCTACACATCTGGTTTGTTCTATGCTGTATATTACCTTTTTGGTAAATTATGCGGTTTTTCTTATTTAATTAGTTCTTTTAGTATGTGTTTTTCTAATATCTTCCTTTATACCTGAAACACAATATGAATTTAAGAGGTTTATCCTTAGCTATGGCTATACTTTCATTTCAAGTTTTATTTCTCGCTGGAATTATTTTATACATCCAAAATTTATTTGCAGAACCTTGCTCCTCAGATATTAACCAATCTCTTAATTTGTCATACCAAATGCTTATGTAGTGCGACTACATTCTAAAAAAAATCCATAGAGCACAAATTCCATATTTTTTTTGTTTCTTATTTTAATGTGCTTTTCAACAGATTCAAAGTTTATCAGGTCTGCTAAAAATAAAAAGAAGAACAGGAGAAGAAGAGATTTATCAGAAGAGTCTTCTACAGATGGATTTAATAATAAACAGCAGGTGGTTGTGAATATCTCAAACTTTGTGATAATTTACTCAACAAATATTTAAGCTACTTCTTACTTGCACTATTTACTTTAGGAATCAACAAGTCATTCTATGGGATTCCTTGAGTCTGGCGAAAACTCAGAAATACAGGAAGTTTCTGAAGCTCTTTTCTCAGGGAAACTTGAGTTTGATGATGATTATGTTGATGATGACCTAGATCCTGCAATGAAGGAAGAACTTGACAGGTGAGCGTGCTTTGATTTTACCTTTGTTTCTTTGCTGCTTTTCTATTGAAATGTTTCTTCTGTAGTGTTCTGCTTGTATGCCTTGAAATTCTGTATTTGTGTTGAAGATCACACTAATGAAGCTGTAAAAGGAATGCGAACTCTGCATAGTAGTGCTCTATGCAACACAAATATTTATTTATTGTCAATGAGGAATGGTAAGAAATGGAAAGAGATTCAATTTTTGTGAAACAACAATAGAATATCTTCGAAGTAGGTTGCATTTACACTCTTGAAAACTCAGGGTAATATGGTATGCATGTAGGAGTGTCATTGTCTTAGTTGTATCCATATCCTATATTTTTTAAGAATTGCCTTATCTCATGTTGAGCATCCCATATCATTTCTATGCATCATAATCGCAAGAGAAATTAATCATGATAATTTTATACAGCACGTGAAACATTTTAGATTCAAATTTTCTGTTCAAAACTAAAATTGTAGCTTGGCTGGCTTAATTTAATCACATTTTCAATCTGTACATAATTTGATTACACTTCCAATCTGTACATAAAGAAAATTTGAAGGGAGGATTGTAAGGAGATGAAGAGATGAATTTATTAGTCAACTCTCATTTGAGCATGCATACCTCATCCCAAAGTAGTACAAAATAGCTAAAAGATAACAAAATATTATATGAAATTAATTCTTTTTGGTGCTTTATCCCGATTTAGATCATAAAGTTCTTTGGAATGCACCTTATGGACTTGTTGTACAATGCACTAGATGTAACATATTCTAGGGTTCACATTTAAAGACTTGAGTTTGGCAATAGGGTGAATGAATTTCCATGATTTTTTTTGTTGGGCCTAACTTAAAGTTAGGGTCTGGGTGCTCATCTTACCACATCCTGTTTTGAATTAAAAGCTCAATTTTTTTACTTTGATTGTGCCATATGATTTGTCTTATCATATAGGCGATATGAACTTTTCTTATGAAGAAAGTGATTATATTATAAAATTGATGCTCATTTATAACTAAGTTAATTGTTAAAATAGAACTTCGTGATCTACTTAAATTAGATGTAAAACTTGAAAAAACTGATTTAGCACAACATGCTTACAATTTTGTAAACTAATATACCAGAGCTCTGCAGTTCTCTTTAGCGTAATTTGGTTCTCATTAACATCAGTGCTGAAAATCCTTTAGTATTTCTTTGTGCAACTTTTGTGGCTCCTTAAGAGATACCCATGAAGCATGACATGGTATGGTATTTTATTTAAAAGGTGCACCTCTGCAGCCCATGACACTAATGGTCACTATTTGATTTTCGTCATCATGTATAGATGATGGATTTTGATCAATCAGCTGTTTGAGTATCTGACGTGAGGCTTGGGGGAGGACCAGCTGGTCCTCACGAGAAGGGGGGGTTCCCCCCCCCTCCTCCCTCCTCCCTCCTCCGTCCTCTCTCCTCCCTCCCTTCCTTTTTCCCTTCTTTGCTCTTTCTTTCCCTTCCTTTTCTTACTTTCCTCCATAGGGTTTTTCTAATTTAAATCCTTACCTAAATTCTAAGATCTGATTTAATTCTCCTTTCTTATTTTAAAAGTTTTTCCTAAAATCTAAAATCTGATTTTATTCTCCTTTCTTATTTTAAAAAACCTTTCCTAAAATCTGAATTATATTCTTCGTCTTATTTTAAACGTTTCCTAAAATATGTGAAATCTCTTTATAAATAGGAGATGATGTGTTTGAAGTTAGGGGTTTTGTTTTGGACATATGAAATCAAGTTTTAGCCTTGGTATTTTCCACTTTGAGGGCTGTCTCTGACGTTGAGGTAGTGCTCTGACTGTCTCTTGTCCTAAGCGGTGATCTTCTCCACACGTCCGGATGTAGTTCGACATTGATGAGATATTTATCTATCCTTCCACTCTTCCTGCTACTGTCCCCCCGCTTTTGAACCGTACAGTAGGCCTCCACACCTCTTCCCTGACAACAGCTGGCTGCTGTTCTCCCTCCAAAATGCTGCCAACCTCCTCCCAGCAGAGAAAAATTTGCGTACGATAGCCAATAGGAGGCCACGTATGCATCGGCGGTCCCACCGCTTGTGACTTATAAAAGAAATAGGTGTTTTGCCAAGCGTGACCCCAACCCGCGACGGTAACTCGATTGTAACCCCGCTGTACCCATGCAATACCTCCCGCGGTCGGCCTCCAGTAACGCGTTTGTAATTCTGTTGTAACCCATGTATAACATTCCCCACTCAGGCAGCGGTATCGCGCGTATAACCTGAATATAACTTCCCTTTAACCTCGTCGCCGCGAAATCAAGAATATACCCTTCGTGTAACTCAATTGTAACTGCGATGTAACAGACAATTAAGCCTGTCGCATTGGAGCCGCGCGTGTAACCCTCATGGAACCGAGAGTATACCCTTCGTGTAACTGTGATGTGACAGACTATTAAGCTCGTCGCATTGGAACCGCGCGTGTAACCTGAGTGTAATTGCGATGTACAAGATTAAAAATTGGAGCGCGCGCGAATCATTGTATTTAAGCAGCTAAGGTCTACTGTTTTATTGGTCATATTCTCTATTTTCCGACACCATTGCAGCGGCACCTGAACATGTTGAAGTTCAAGATAGATTACAAAAACACAAACTCTCATTTTATGTATGAAGCGGAAGGAAAAGAAGAGAGTTATCCTGCCAAGAGAGAAGAAGTGGACACAAGAAGTGGTTGCCCTGCAATGATTCGATACGCAGTTGATGAGGAAGGCAATTGGACAGTTAAAAAAATTATTGAATCTCATAACCACTCAGTAACGAACCCTGATGATAAGCATCTGTTGCTTTCCAACAGAAAGATAGGTGAAGTCAATGCAGATGTGCTTAGATCGATGACACTGTCATGGATAAGACTTAAAGACGTGTTTAACTTTCTAGCCAAAGAAGTTAGGGGTGTAGAGAACCTGAAATGTACAAAGAGAGATGCTTTCAATTTCATTCAAAAAGAGAAGATATGTAAAATTGAAAATGGTGATGCCAATGTTTTACTGCAGTTGTTCGCAGAGAGACGTGCTGAGGATAACATGTTTGAATGAGATTTTGAAATTGACGAGAGTGGTAGGCTAATGAATTTTTTTTTTGAAATGACGAGACATCCAAACTTGATTATGACTGTTTTGAAGATGTCATTATTTTTGATACGAGCTATAAATTAAATAAATATAACTTATGTTGTGCTCTTATTGTTGGTTTTAACCACAATTGATAGAATGTTCTCTTTGGAGTCGGATTCTTGTTAGAGTAGACGGTAGACTTTTAAAACTTTTATTCGTATCATATGTGATAATCATCCAATAACAATATACACGGATCATGATTAGACAATGAGCAGAGCCATAACAGAGATTTTATTAAATACACGACATTTACATTGTCTGTGACACATATACAAGAAATTGCCTTCAAAGGTTTAATGCGGGGTGGTGAATAAGATAGTCAGTGTTTTTTTTATAAATGTTTAAGCAAATGCGAGTCTGAAGAGAATTTTGATGATACACGGGATGTGATGATTGAAACAGGTAAATGAGATGTACAAGATTACACATAAGTGGTCCACGACAAGCAAAAATATGAAATTTTAGACATAAGTGGTTACGGCTATATGAGTCTGAAGTTGACAACTCTTTTTTTCTCACTAAAAAAAAAATGAAATTTTAGGCGATGATAATGAAGTTATGAGGCCCGACGACAAGCAATGTTTACAACACTTAGCTAGCTACACTTAGCTAGCTATGTTTATGAATACAAAAGTAATATCAAACATGTATACCACTCATTCAAATTCTTGCCAAACATTAATTAAAATTGAAACCAAATTCTTTCCAAGCATTCAATTAAAGTAGAACCAAGTTCTTTACAACCATCCAATGGAACCCAAAATACATTCTTTACAACCATTCAAAAGCATTTAGTTAATATGCAACCAAAATCCAGACAACAATTGGAGCAGTTACAGAGATGGATCATTTTAGAAGTTAACATTAGGACCAAGCTCCCGTAGGCAGCGGGAAAAACTCTCTAGAGTTTCATAAGGAGCCAGCATATCAGCTCTGCAATCATATTATACCAAAAAAAATAAATCAAAGCAAAAAAAAGAGTTTCATAAGGAGCCAGATAAGTGTTGAAATATCAAGTAATGTATATATCTTAAGTAAAAAAAAATAAGAGTAAAACATCAAGTATCTAAACCGTCAGAAGATGTTATAGCTACTGATCAAATATCACAAAGAAATATCTTTTTTTTATGACTCTTGCATTTATCTCTTTTTATGACTCCTACATAAAATAAATCAAGTTTAAATAAGTGAAATAAAAAAAATATGAAATAACAATTTCTAAATGCTAAATGTAGAAGGATAAATGAAAATGAGTGAATAAGAAGAAATCAATCAGGTTAAACCGAAACATACATGAAACAAAGAAACATTACAAAATAGTAAATGTTTAACAAAATTCTAGATTCAAACAGAAAAACGTATTTGGACTTCATGCTTTTTCCCATGTCCTGACGCTTTCCAACCAAAACTTTCCCTCTAAAAAACAAACCACTTGATCTACTGTCATACCATCCATAAAATATGTTTATTTTTTATAAGAATTCACAAAATTAGATAAAACAGGTGAAAACTATAATGAATGAATAAATGCCAACATAACAATTGCAATTTAATTATGAGATTTAAATAAGTGGGGGGACATTTGAGAAACATTTGGCTTCAACATCTATACATCTCTTGTGTTGAGACCCGTTACGTGACATTCTCAATAAAAAATCTGCATGACATTTCATGCAGTTGTAGGAGCAATTTTGAAAGGGAGATATTAGATGTCTAAAAAGTTAAAGATGATAAATGCTTATTAACATAAACCTGTAATCATTCCAAAAGAACTATGTTCGTGACAATGTGAATTTACAAATCTCGTATTCTATTTCTGCTCTAAATAATGACATAAATTT